AAACAGAGCTATTTAAGCCATCTGGCGAAAGTATTTTTGTATATCAATATATAGCGCAAAAACCAAAATATAGCAAGATCAGATTTTTCCAATATTGTGCAGCCCGAGTCATAGCGATATTTTTCAGTCAATCTATGGCCATATCTACTTGCAAAATAAAAGAAAGTTTTGCAAACAAAGAATAAAGTATTGAGTAAAAAATAAAAAATGCAAATCTCCAAAAATTGCAGAGCGAAAATTCATTTTTGAGAAGTAAAAATTTATTTTGCTAACAAAAATAAAGAACTGCAAAGGGAAATTAAGTTTTGAGAAATAAAAGTGCAATTTGCAAACAAAAAAAGGAACAAAAATAAAATAAAAATAACATATTTGCAATAAAAAACTATATCTATTAGCAAAACTTTTCAATGCCTTTACAAAACCTGTCCAGTCAATTGCAATGCTTATTTTGATTTGCTTTTTAGTCAACCGTAAGTTTGCGATGATGTTTTCATTTTGCGAGTTTCACTTTGTGGCCCTGATTTGACAATGGGGCGGAGTCAAGGGAACTTGGGCATTTACGGCAGGCCTGGGCCTACTGGGCTGCAAGACCACCTCAGTGATAATGTGTTTCCAGGTGATGACGCGTAAATAGAGGCAGGTCTGGGCATGTCGTAAACGTGCAAAGTAAAAACAACATTGCAAACTCTCTGTTGAATATATGCAATTTATTAATTTTTTATTTTTTTTGCACTGCTTGATTTTTATTTGCAGTTCTTTTTTTGTAAGCAAATTTCATTCTTATTTCTTAAAACTTATTTTTTTCTTTGCAGTTTTTTATTTTTGTTAGCAAAATTAATTTTATTTCTCAACATAATTTTCTGAGATTTGCATTTATTATTATTTTTTTGCTCAATACTTTATTTTTAGTTTGCAAAACTTTCTTTTATTTTGCAAGTATATATGGCCCTAGATTTACTCCATATTTTTCCTTTTGAAATAAGTTTTGTTCAAGTCAAAAAGTGTCATGTCAGGCAAAAGAGATACATATTGACATATTTATGTATAAGTGTAGAAAAGGAAAAAATTAATTATGATTATATATATATAATCATGGCAGTATATTTAAAAATATAGAGGAAAATAGTTAGTTTAATTTGAAAGGCAGATATTTAGAGTTAGTACATTTAAAGAAAATGCTGCTTAGTGTTTCTAATTGTGTGATATTTTTTTAGAAATATGTTTTGTTCATAAGGTTTAAAAAGTGCCATGTCAAATAAACATACAAATACTGCCATATATATTAATTGCACAAAATGAAGTAAATTTATTATGTTTATAATTGTGGCAATATATTTATAAAAATATTCACATTTGAAAGACAGATATTTACAGTACAATCAAAGAAAATACTACTTCAGTGTTTCTAATTTATTTTTGTTATATTGAATAAATGATCTGTTTTATAAAGAAAATGTTGCTATTTATATTATTTAACGACAACAGAATTAATTGTTAATAAAGTGATTTTTATAATTTTATAATTAGTGATCACATACTGTATAATTTTTGCTGTCATAAAAGTGTGTCATATAAATAATTTGCCTTATGGAATATGTTTTGTTGATATAAAGTTAGAAAAAATGCAATGTCAAATAAACACACATATTGCCATACTTAAAATCATTTTTTTAATATTTATTAAACACACACACAAAATTGTTTTAAATACAATTATAAAAGTGATTTTTTTTAAAACAATTTAAATAAATATAGTTCACCCAAAACTGAATATCCTGTCCTCATTTACTCTCCTGTTATTTGTTTAAAACCTGTTTGACTTCTTTCTTCTGTTTTACAGAAAAGAACATATATTAAAGCAAGCTAGAAACCGGTAACCCGATAGCTTCTTTCAAAATGTCTTATATTGTCCTTAACAGAATAAAAAAACTCATAAAGGTTTAAGTAAACAGCTATTAAACCTTTATTTTTGAGTGAACTATCCCTTGAACTTGATATTGTCAAGTATTGGTTTCAACACCGAATGTATGTTTCTCGAGTATAAAAGGATATACATATGAAACGAGGATATAGCATATGAATATGAAGATCTATACGCCTCCACAGCTATGCAAATAGCCTCTGCTCTTTGGATCAGTGTTTGCGCAAAGCAGCAGTAGCGCCTCCTACACCGGTCCCTTCAGTGACCCGCAACAGCACTGATTGACCAGTGATCAGAGCTGTGCATCAGGCAGCAGTGGGAGCGCCCTCTACAGCTCACCGGCCGCCCCTGTCACGTAGGAGCTCAAGCTGGACTAAATACGACTGCCCTCAGCTGGTTATCAACTAGAACTACACGAGAACATGCTGCTCTTTAAAACCACCCCAAGGGAATGGGGTCACTGCATTTACTCTTAAATCTTTCTGTATGGAAATATTTTAGGAAATTTAGGAAACATATTTTTGGTCTGAGTGTATTAATGAATGTTTGTTATGTGAACAGAAAATATTTAGTTTTTTTTTTTTTTGGTGGACAAAGCAGAGAGAGGCACAAAGAAAGAGAGTGACCCCCACTGGCTACCGCCAACCTCTTTACACCAGCAAGCCCACACATTCATTCACTGCCAGACAACACAAAAAAAACAGGCTCCACCAGCAGCAGGTTTTAGATTAGTTTGCTAAAATCCAAACAATAATAATAGTAAAAAAGTTTCTGAATAATAAAAAACTCTGAAAACAAAATATGTATTGCAAACTTATTTCATTTCTAAAACTAAAGTAAAAGTGAACTGAAACCATATAGAATTAAAATAAATTATAATAACACTGCACACAAAAATAATAATAATAATCATAATAATCATAATTTAACAAAGAATTTAAATCAAATTGTAAAACATTTATTAAAACAAACTATAATGATACTATATATATATATATATATATATATATATATATATATATATATATATATATATATATATATATATATTATGAGTTCGACAACACCAACAACAAAATAAAGGTTTGCAAACACTTTGAGGGTAAATAAATAATTAGTACATTTCATTTTTGAGTGAACCGTCCTATAAAAATGATGAATAATACATCAAATCCTGCTGCTGTTTCCCAATTAGTATCTTAAAAATGGATGAAATATTGTTGATGATGATTACACCTGACCTGTTCTTTTTTTATAAAGCATATGAGCGGGGACGCAGCGAGATCTGCGCTACATGCCGGCAGTAGCACAGGACACAATAGCGGCTGAAGAGGAGGAAGCTGTGGCATGCAGCCTTAAACAAAGCGCAGGAACAAGAGGTCTTTACATGGAGTGCAGCTGCTTACTCCAGCTCTCTCGTCCTGAATCACTGCAGCACACACAGGCGGAACAAATGCCGGCCGCACAGCCTCGGAATTAGAATACAATAAAACACTGTGTTCCATAAAAGTATTTAGCAATAAAAAATGGCACGCTGGCAAGAGGAGAGTGCAGAGAAGGGAATCAAAAAAAAAAAAAAAAAAAGAGAAAACGGGGGTGGATATGAAAGACCCCAATTCTCTTCAGTGCTATAATAGTGAAATGAACACACATAAATGTGTTAAGAGTATCTCTTTGCATCTTGTATGGACTGCATGCATTTATTCTGGAAAGCTTATTATGGGCAAGTCATTGCTATGCAAAGCAGCGCCTGATGCTTTTCTCTGGTCCTTTCAGCCCAGCACGGTGTTTGGCCAATAGGCCTGGCCCCCCGCCTCTCATTGGGCATTCATAACATGCAACATTTGCACAATGTATCTCTCAAAGACTGCTGAATAGGGGGCCTTAATACTCATGTAAACAACTGCAAACCAATTACTTAATGAATCAGCCCCAACACATAATGAGGAGGCGCACAAAGGCCCATAAATGCATTTTTTGCACCAAAGCGCCTGCTTTAAACTGCGATTCTTCAGCTACGTCCAGGCTTAAGCGCAAAAAAATCATAATTACGCCACTTGATTTATTTTATTTCGCTATGCGATATTTTGTGGTTGCGGAGGGAAGCGGCAGGTCCTTTAATGTGCCCATCGGCTCAGTGACAGACTGACAGCAGTAAGTGACGGAGAAGAGAGAGCGCGAGAGGAGAGAGGACGGGGAACAGCACATGTAGTGTTTCTACTGCTGCTCGAGTGCAGGGTACTTGTAGAGGCAATAAAGCGCAAGAAGTGACTGGCAAGAGGAATTCTTCAACACGGGCGGGGAAAATGTTTCACCTGAAAGCGAAGCAAAAGCTCCATCGTCTTTGCTCTGAGCTTTAAACAACCTCTAACCTGACAGAGGGTCTCCGGCAGGGTTCTCTGTGTGACTGTGAGGTTCTGGGATGATCCAAAAGCATCTCGCACTGCAGACGCAGGCTTATGTTTATTAATGAGGCCATTCATTGGGCAGACTGTGGCATCCATCAGAGAGCTCTGTCAGAGTGCCATCATTATACCCTTTCGTCTGCAAATAGTGTAAACTAGCTGAGAGAGAGAGCAAGGGGAGGCGGTCAAAGAGTGGGCATAAAGACTGGGCAGAAGTAAGAGCCAAAAAAAAAAAAAAAAGACAGAGAGACAGAGAGGGAGACTTTCGACCCTTGTGTCAGCGTGATGCTCGCAAAAGCATGTGAAAATCAGAGCCGATTACTCTTCACGAGGTTTACCCATCCATTACCTGGCCTAATGGATTCACGAAAGGAGAGGCAACCGCTGGGAGGGCTGTGTGTCTTAGCTGATTGTGTGAACTAAAAAAAAACTAAACATTGTCCCCTCAAGATCCTTTTTCATCAGTCATAAGTCCTGATTTACCCAAGCAATCAAATAATGCCAGTGATGAGAGAGGAAGCTCGGAATAAAAATACAGCTTGACTGATGCCTCCCACATGAACTTGTGTTAATGATGCTAAGAGTGTTTCAAGGACAGATGCGCATTGGTGTTTTTATTAAAACAGGACAAATGGATTTCTTTTTTAAATGCATAACATTTCGTCAGTACATACCGGTTGTTTTGTGTTAAAATATCCTGCTGTACCTCAGGCTTCTCCAGTTTGTGGGCATCTTTGGATAACCAATGAATCGTTAAATCAAAAAGAGAAAGGCAAGGGAACACGGTTACACTCCAATATTAAAAGGCATAATAGGCATGTGATATTAATTTGCATAATCCTGATGTTTATATAATAGTAAACGCGCAAAAAGGTGAACAGATAAAGAAGAGTTTAATGCAAAAAATATATATTATTTACATACAGCTTGAAACAAATTCTCCTGCAAAAAGAGTGTTATTAAGTTTTACAATAATTACACTACCAGTTTGCGGTCAGTTTTTTTTTTTTTTCATGATTTTTTAAAAGAAAATATTCTGTTCATCAAGGTGGCTTTTTTTAAATGTCCAAAAATGTTTAAATATTTATAAAAAATTTAAATAACTGCTTTCTTATAGTATGTAGTTTCAACTTAAATTATTACTCCAGTCTTTATTGCTTTTATTACTATTACTATTAATAATAATATATATATAATTAATAAATATAAAATGAACAGTTATTTTATAGTGCAATAACATTTCACAATTTTACAATTTGTACTGTATTTTTGATTAAATAAATGCAGCCTTGATAAGCAGGATTAGACCTGTCACGAAATCTATCTATTTTTTTTCTATTTTATTTTATGATATATTGCACTAAAATACATCGCGATAAACAACCATTTTATGCCACTCATTATATATTGCCAGAAAGACAATGTAATATGATCGCAATGGATGTTCACTCTTCCAAAGAACACAACATATTTTATTCTCAAGAATATTTAATTTAAACTAAATACTATAGAGTTTTTTAACCATACTGACATGGATGCCTCTATTAGAGAGATGTTGCACGATCAGTTTAAATTTTGCTAGAATTGGTTTTTATGTATGGGCGAAATAAATATTGCATCAATAATGATGCGTCTTGTCCATGTGTTGTGCGATATGTCGATATATTGATTATTGTGAAAGGCCTAAGCACGATAAGCTTATTTTAAAACATTTAAAAACCCTACTGACACAAAATAGTGTATATAATTCAAAATTATATAATAAATATAGTATGGTGATAGATTCATTATTTATTATATTCTTATTTAACAATAATAAAACAGTTGAAGTCAGAATTATTAACCCCCCTGAAATATTAGCATTTATTTTTTTTATTTAACAGGGAGATGTTTTTTAAACACATTTCTAAATATAATAGTTTTAATAACTCGTTTCTAATAACTGATTTATTTTATCTTTGTCATGATGACAATATATATTTGACTAGATATTTTTCAAGACACTTATATTAAGCTTAAAGTGTCATTTAAAGGCTTGACTAGGTTAATTAGGTTAACTAGGCAGGATAGGGTAATTAGGTAAGCTATTGTATAACGATGGTTTGTTCTTTAGCTTTTGATAACTAATGATAATTTTGATCTTAAAATGTTTTTAAAAATTGGTTACACTTTACAATAAGGATCTTAAGTTAATGCATTTACTAACATGAACTAATTATGACCAACACATTTACAGCATTTATTAATCATAATTGAACATTTACTAATGCATTATAAACATCCAAGTCAATGCTTAATAACATTAGTTAATGCACCATGAGTTAATATTAACTAACAATGAACTACTGTATTTTTATTAACTAACGTTAACTAACATGAACAAATACAGTAGTACATGTATTGTTCATTGTTAGTTCCCGTTAGTAAATGCATTAATTAACATTAACTAATAAACCTTATTGTAAAGTGTGACCAAAAAATGTAAACTAATTTTTATTCAAGCCGAAATAAAACAAATAAAACTTTCTCCAGTAGAAAGAAAATATTATCAGACATACTGTGAAAACTTCTTTGCTCTGTTAAACATCATTTGGAAAATATTAAAAAATATAAAAAAAATAAATATATATGACCAAAGCCTTTTATTTTAAATAAAACATTTTTATATTTTGCAGACACACATGAAGCATTTTGTCACACTTTGCATAATGTCCCGTTACCTGGTGGCTCTGAAACCTCCTCCTCCGAGTCACTCCAGTGCCTCTCTTGTGCCACAGATTGTTTAAGCAGCTGATATGCTTTGGTCTCTATAGAAAAAAAGAGAAAGTAAAAAATAAGCAGCTAGTCAAATATTTGCTAAAGACCCCGACTTCCAACTTTCCAGCTCCCTAATATTTGATGAACCAACATCAGCTCTTTAAGGCCTCTGATGAGCAAAGAGGTTAAAAACAGAGTGAGCCCGCACTAAACTATTGATTTAATTCAGACACACACAAACAGCCTGCCGTCTCAAAAAAAAAAAAAAAAAGCCTTGTGTCGCTGCGCTGTCTTATAGGATTCCATTTAAAATACAGTCTTTCATGTTTTACATGCTTTGGAAATTGAGATATTTAACTAGCAAGCATTCAAGCTTAAAATACTTTTTGAAAATGAGCACAGATAAAAATAAAAAGGCATGGCTTGTGAGAGAAAAAAAAAAAGCGTGTCAATTTTAAATGACGAAAGTGAACAGAAAAACTAACTGCAAAGTGGTTATGCCCCCAAAGACAAAATGCATTCCAGCATCTCGTTATCCTGATATTTGTCGTACGGCTGCAACAAACACCTTATTTTTAGTTTGTTTCTCCCAGCGTAATGACTGCAAAATATAGGCATGCATCTAAAGGATCCCTTTTTTGTTTGCCATATACATAAAACAGCATTGTGCTCGGCGCTTGGCTTTACCAACGCAGCGCAACGCAACGCAACGCGGATGTAGATGGTGCAAGGCCAACGGTTCAGACGTGGCCACCGCTGATGATAGCGAAGTGATGTAATACGAAAGGCAACAGAACTCGACGCCGTCTTCATTAGCTGCCTGTAAACAGCTCATAAGCAGCCAGGGACAGCAGAGGCGGTTTTCCACTACCATAATGCCTTTGATTAGTTGCACTGAGAAGCTGGACTTCTCTCTCCGTGGCGCTCTTGGGCTAGCCCTGCGCATGAAAGGCACAGTTTGAAATCAAATAGCCAAGTGGAATAATGGATAGTTTTACATTTCTGAGCTGGCGCTGGGACTTGCTACCCGAGGCTTTTCAAAGGATGCCTTGACATCCAGTCTTTTTAAGTCTGCCTCTGGCTGGCATTGTTTAGCAGATAATGAGAACCAATGACAGATCTTGTGCGGCACCCCCAACCCGGCCGGCGGACAATTAAACCTCCGCATTATGCGCTCTGAGAATCTCAGTTTCAGCCGTACCTAGGGCAGAAGAAAAGAGACGGGTTTGTTTTGGCTGCCGATAATTAGACGAACAGTTCCACTCTTCAGGTGGGACTTTGACCTCTGATTCACCTTGATCATCCTTTCACAGCTCCCCAGTTGGGAAAAAAAGGGAGCCCCATTATCTACTGCGTGAGGAGAAAGACAAAACAGGCACAGAAGAACTCCCGAATGGGCGCTTCTTCGATCTGCCTTTTTACCTCTAATAGGAATACTTTCCACTGGGCTTTGGTCGGCACTGTCCTCTTCAGCACTTTGAATTTCTGAAACAAAGAAAAGAGAAGGAAAGCGCAGCTCAGAGAGATGCTGGAAGAGTGAGACGGAGGAGAAAAGAAAGAAAGAGAGAGATCTGGGGAGGGGTGAGGGGGGGCTTTTTGAATCTGAACAGCAGGACTGATTGAGAAAGGTTTAAAGGGAGAATGAAGGCTGGCTGGCTTTGTCAGAAATGAGATTTGAGCAAAAGTGTATTCTCATGAGGGTCAGAGCTCTGGCATCCTGCGAGTACTCGAGGTCCCCTCTTCCTTCATCAGAACAGAGCCACCGAGCTGATGTGTCCATGCTTTAGCTCTGAAATTCAGCCATTAATGCGTTTTGCCTGGTTTTTGGTGCGTCCCTCTCACTTTTTCTCATTGATCTGTTCTGTCTGACTGAGCACAGCTCTCAACGCTTGTGTGTATTTAAACTGCTCGACGATATGTGGATTACAGAATACTCATTTGAATGCGTTAAAACAGAAATATGCGACAAGTCAAATTTGGGGATGCCAGCTTAATCTGAAAAGTCAAATAGCCGTATTACCTTGTTCTTCGCCAGTTTGAGCATTTGTTCCGGAAGGCCTGGCGGGCTTGATCTCTACACTGTCGTTTAGAAGAGAAGGCAAACTGGAAGATGACGACGATTCACTTTTTGATGGATAATGGGTCTCAGATTTGTAGGTCAGAAGTCTCTTCAACAGCTTTCCTGCCTGAATGATAGAGACAACATACCCTCAATTCAGATGCCAGGGTTGAACCAATCAAAAACAGAAATTTTCAAAAATTTCCTTCGGCTTTGTCCCTTATTTATCAAGGATCGCACAGAGGAATGAACCGCCAACTATTCCAGTAAATGTTTATGCGGCGGATGCCCTTCCAGCTGCAACTCATTACTGGGAAACACCCATACATTCTTACATTCACACACTTATAGACTACGGCAAATTTAGCTAATCCAATTCACCTATACTGCATGTCTTTGGACTCAGGGGGAGTCCCTTTAAGCAAGTCATTTCACTCGACGGCCATCTTTGAAACACCTCTCGGGCAGTATGCTCAGGCATTCTGTCATAATGGGTAAACATCTAATTCTCCAAAACTGTTTGCCAAACTTACGATTACATAACACATTTGGAACCACCAATAAAATTAAACAACTTCTGTCTCTTAAGTTGTGTTTCTAAACGTCTAAATCAAACAAAATCTGAATATTTTCATGTTGCGGCAGCACACTCGAAATGAACAAGATCACAACACCACCTTCATTTATGGCCGTTCTACACATTACTATCCTCTGAATAAAGATTGTCTGATTTAGTTGGTCTTCTGATGTAGTCCACAACTTGGTCTTGATGGTAAATCTCCTCCAGAAATGACAGCGACTCAGTGTTTACAAGTTTGTGGTGTTTGAGTAGTTGCTGTCATGTGACGTGCTTTTAATAGGACAGATTGTACCTTACGCTTGTTTCAAACAGATTACAAAAAAGATTTTAAGTGCACTTGGTTTATTTAAAAGCAAATATTTCAAGCTTTATTCGGATATATTTTTTATGACAGTGAAGCATTTAGTGAAGTGCATTTATTGACCACCGAACTATTGTAAAAGCACACATCTGGCCTGAGCTTTTGCCCCTGGAGAAACGTCAGTCTATAACCATCGATGATTGGCTCCTGTACTAGTAGGGTGAGCTTCATGCAGGATATTGACCGTTACACTTTTCCCCATTCAAAATATACGAGTGGCATGTCTTGTGTATTCTGTAGTCTTTGAACCAGAGCAACTGGAGAAAACCCACACCAACATGGGTAGAACATGCAAACTTCACACAGAAATGCCGACTGGCCCAGCCAGGACTCGAACCAGTGACCGTTTTGCTATGAGGCGACAGTGCTAACCACTGAGCCACCGTGCTGCCAAAAATAACTTTGAAATGCTTAAAAAATTACTTTAACCATTTCCACTATTATTGTCACTAAGATTTGTGTAAATGTGGTCAGTGTTGCTAAATATAGCTGACTTTTTCTAGCCCAAAAGCAGTCCAAAACTTGCCCAAACGCACAAAAAACAAAAAACAACAAAAAAAAAACACCCAAAATATTAAATTAATATTTTAGTTATTTATTTAAATCAAATTTAACCTAGTTACTTTAACTGTAATAATTGCGTGGGTTTTCTCCCGGTGCTCCGGTTTTCCCCATAGTCCAAAGACATGCAGTACAGGTGAATTGGGTAGGCTTAATTGTCTGTAGTGTATGAGTGTGTGTATGGTTGAGTGTGTGGATGTTTCCCAGAGATGGGTTGGAAGGGCATCCGCTGGAAGGGCATCCGCTGCATAGAAACGTGCTGGATAAGTTGGTGGTTTATTCCGCTGTGGCGACCCCGGATTAATAAAGGGACTAAGCCGACAAGAAAATGAATGAATTATATATATTTATGTATATATAACATAGGCATAGGTTTTTTTTTATTAATCTAGATTAAAATGGCTCATTTGAATTCTGCCGAAGGAATATGTGTGCTACCCAAATAATTTGAGTCGGGTTTCTCAAGCAAGGTGGTGCATTAGACCAGGGGCTCATGTACTGTTTTAAAAATGCATCACAAACTGCTTGAGAAACTGTTCTACTATGATAATTCATTTATTCATTTTCTTTTCGGCTTAGTCCCTTTCTTAATCTGAGGTCGCCACAGTGGTATGAACTGCCAACTTATCCAGCACATTTTTTTTATGCAGCAGATGCCCTTCCAGCTGCAACCTATCTCTGGGAAACATCCATACACACTCATTCAGACTCATACACTACGGACAATTTAGCTTACCTAATATACCTGTATTGCATGCCTTTGGACTGTGGGGGAAACCGGAGCACCCGGAGGAAACCCACGCAAATGCAGGGAGAACATGCAAGCTTCACACAGAAACGCAAACAAACCCAGTCGAGGCTCGACCCAGTGACCTTCTCTCTGTGAGGCGACAACACTACCTACTATGACATCACGTCACCTTTACTAAGATAATTGGTGATGAAAATAAATTATGTTCAATAAGATGTACTTGTGTTTACTAACTGCTTATTTAGTTAAACATGAATTTTGAACTGTAGGCTTACATACAGTAAGGTCCAAACAGCAATTTTATACTTGCCTTTGATGTACGTACATACAGAAAATGCTGCTTCGCAAAGCCAAGTTCACAGAGCCCTGACGGTGTGTCAAACATTGATTAGGTTAACGGCAATATTTTTTTTTATCGTGCGATAAGAGTCTCGCGTTAAAGCAGCACGATAAGGTCAATAACGGCCCACCACTAATATACATATACTTACAGTGAAAGACAGAATTATTAGCCCTCTTTTGAATATTTTTTAAAATATTCCCAAATTATGTTTAACAGAGCAAGGAAATATTATGTTTATATATATATATATATATATATATATATATATATATATATATAATATAATATTATATAATATTATATATAATATTTTTTCTTCTGGAGAAAGTTTTATTTGTTTTATTGGCTAGACGAAATCTTTAATTTCATTAAAAAAACTTTTAAGGTCAAAATTATTAGCCCCTTTAAGTTATTTTTTTTCTGATTGTCTACAGAACAAACCATCGTTATACAGTAATTTGCCTAATTACTCTAACCAGCCTAGTTAACCTAATTAACCTAGTCAAGCCTTTGAATGTCACTTTGAGCTGTATAGAAGTGTCTTGAAAAATATCTAGCAAAATATTATTTACTGTCATCATGGCAAACATAAAATAAACCAGTTATTATAAATGAGTTATTAAAACTATTATGTTTAGAAATGGGTTGGAAAAATCTCTCCATTAAATAGAAATTGGTGAAAAAATAAATAGGGGGTCTAATAATTCAGGGGGGCTAATAATTCTGACATCAACTGTATATATATATATATACACATACATTCTTTTTTTAATTCCAGGTTAATACAGTTTACTATGTATTTACATTTTACAAATCTATTATATAATACAGACTATTATCAAAAAAGTTACAATTAAATCACAATAATAATGACCAAACTTTTCACATAAAAGGTATATCAAATCAGAGGGATAAAAACCACAAACAATAAACTACAAAAGTTAAAAGTGACTTAAAAACTTTATATATTTTATAAAGCTCTTAGCTCAAAAAATGCTGCAATTTCACATAGCAATGATTATGGTAGATCAATTAAACCTCAGACACACAACTGGATTATGAGTGTTCATCTACCGGTCAGATCCAGAGCTTAGCTTTCTCTGTATCAAGCTGAAAATAACAGATATACAGCATAAATTAAACCACATTTAAACCACAAGTACCAAAACAATCCATATCATCAGTACATGAGTACTAAATCAGATATTTTCTCCCGGAAACCAAGGAAACCCTCAAAAATAATGACAAGGAACGAAGGTCAGATGTCAAATATATATCTTAGCAATAGATTATTATTACAAGTCAAATGCCACGTGACACAGACTCATAGCAACAGGACAGCATCACCACCCCCATGACCTCATTAAAAAAGTAGAGAAATTTAAAAAGCTGGAATTTATGGAGCTGGCACTAGGAAAGACCTTTTATAAAAGCCTATATACATTTATAAGATGAGGTCATTTTACTAGGCCAGGTGCATACTATTCAACAGATATTCCTTTCTCATAAGTACTTCATTGTTGAGGATAATAACACCTCTATATAGAACACTGCAAACATAAAAAAAAGGTTTTATGGATACTAGAATAAACAACTGAAGCTTTAAAGGGGACCTGTTATCATCGACACACGTCATTATTCTGTACTGGTTCATGCTGCAAACATCCTCTACTCCCCAGTGGTACAGTAAAATAGCACACTGGACCGGGCAAATACTTTACCCCAAAATAATTTTGTTGTCCATTTTGAATATATTTTTTAACAACAACTGGCGTTCGTTAACCAAAAATCAACCATCAACCTGTAACCCCCCCCCCCCCAAAATACTGTTCATTAAATACCACCATAATAAAATGTCATATATAAAAAGAATAAAATACATAGGCCTACATGAAATACACTGTACAATGCATCTATATTACGCTTACAGTTTTGATCGTACAGATAGCATCAATACATCAATCGAATCTGTTATGTGTCTACTTTTTGTTGTGTACACTCACAACAACAACAAACGTGTGTGCTTTTGCAAAATAAGGAAAACAGTGTGGGCAATCTCTCTTTTCTCTCTCCGTGAACTGCTTTTAGAAGCGTGTCAGTAAAATGCGCTGAAACTTCACGAAAACAAAACGCACACATATGAGACATGTATCTATAGAAAGCTTAAAGTGTCTACTTTTAAATGCAGCTATGCATGTTAAAACAAACATTGTTTGATAAAGTAATCAGTACAAAACCAATGCTATGTCTAGTTTCTTAGTTTGATCTCATTACTTTTAATGCGACCACGCCCACAAGGCATTGTTATTACAAATGTCTGAAGATGCCTGCAGACTGTGGTCAGAAAAACACGGCACTAAAATGAAAGGAAACTTGGCAAATAGTCAACAATTATCAGACATACTGTGACAATTTCCTTGCTCTGTTAAACCTTATTTGGGAAATACTTGTAAAATAAGAAAAATAATTGTACATATAACTGTATATTAAGAACTGTATATATAAAGTTGAAATCAGAATTATTAGCCCCCCTTTGATTTTTTTTGTTCTTTTTTAAATATTTCCCAAATGATGTTTAGCAGAGCAATGAAATTTTCACAGTATGTCTGATAATATATTTATTTTTTCTGGAGAAAGTCTTATTTGTTTTATTTTGGCTAGAATAAAAGCAGTTTTAAATTTTTTAAACACCATTTTAAGGACAAAATTATTAGCCCCTTTAAGCTATATTTTTTTCCGACGGCCTACAGAACAAACCATCATTATACAGTGACTTGCCTAATTACCCTAACCTGCATAGTTAACATAATTAACCTAGTTAAGCCTTTAAATGTCACTTTAAGCTGTATAGAAGTGTCTTGAAAAATATAAAATAAATAAAAGATAAAATAAATCACTTAAAATAAATCACTTATTAGAAATGAGTTATTAAAACTAATATGTTTAGAAATGTGTTAAAAAAATCTTCTCTTCATTAAACATCAATTGGGGAACAAAATTAAAGGTGGGGGGGGGGGGGGGGGGGGCTAATAATTCAGACTTTAACTGTGTGTGTATGTGTGTGTGTATATTAATATATACATATTTTTATATATATATATAATTTATTTTTTAATATATTTATAAATTGTTTCAAAATCTTTGGCCATCACCACAATCCATATTTATGTTTAGTGTATTATTATTGTTATTATTATTATTATTATTATTAATAATAATAATAATAATAATAATAATAATAATAATAATAATAATAATAATAATATAATATTATTAATAATAACAATAATGATATTATATATATATTATTATTAATAATAATAGTATATATATATATATATATATATATATATATATATATATATATATATATATATATATAATTTTTTTTATTAATTAATTTATTTTTTTATTAATCAATTTTTAGCAATTTATTTCACATATAATCATAGTTTTAATCAATGCATATACATGGCACTATGCGTTTTCGTTTACCATAGTGCTTTATTTGTTTGCGCTGAACTGTTTGCAGAAATATCTTGAATTCTCAATGTTGATTTAATTTTCAAAACTGAATTCTGCACTTTAAATACTACATTACACTATCAACATCAAGCACAACACAAATATGTTTTCAAACTTTTTTTTTTTTTCATTTAAAACTTATGAATAAATTTGAGTGACATGACATAAATTTTAGAGATTAAAAGAAAAAACAAAAACAATTTGCTGCTGTCTTATTTAATGAATTGAATCGGTGTGTTCACTGGTGAAAAGAGAGATTGCAAGTTACCAAAGCCAGTATAGATAAACAAAAGCAAGATAAATATTTTAGTGTATAAGAAATGTTTGACAACACTAGTGTGTTTATGGCTTTAGACTGAGGTTACACATCGTCATGACAATTTAATTTATAAAAAAAATGAAAGGTGCTCAATTCAGGTAAACAAATAACGAACTAGTGTTTAGAACTTTATTTTATCAATAGGGAATCCACTCATATAATGCAGAATCAATAAATGAATCATATATTTTAGTCCTTCCTGCAGTATTTTTTTTTGTATTAAACAAAACATCTTTACAGAGGTTCAGTGGATGTTGAGAGGTAGGTAAGAGTGGTACCTTGTCAGTGTAGGTGGCGTCGGCTGGCAGCAGGAGTGGAGTGAAGAGCTGGATGATGTGGTCAGTGCTGAGGAGTTTCTGTTTCTGAAGCTGAACCATGTGTGTAAAACAGCAGTCCCACAGCACAGCACTTTCAGCTGACAGACACAATCTAGGACACACAAATTTAACACACATTTATGTGACTTTTTTTTTTTTGCATTACATCTACACTGGCCAACGAATCTTCAAAAATAAAAAATAAAAAAACATCAGATTTGAGTTCTGGTAACTGTGGAGGACATTTGAGTACAGTAAACTCATTGTCATGTTCAAGAAACCAGTCTGAGTTGATTTGTAGTTTATGACATTGTGCATTATTCTGCTGGTTGTAGCCATCAGAAGATGGGTACACTGTGGTCATGAAGGGATGGACATGGTCAGCAACAATACTAAGGTAGGCTATGGCATTAACACGATGCTCAATTGGCACTAATGGGCCCAAAGTATACCGAGAAAATATCCCCCACTCCATTACACCATCACCACCAGCCTGAACAGTTAATACAAGGCAGGATGGATCCATGCTTCATGTTGTTGATGCCAAATTTTGACCTTCCTATCCGAATGTCACAGCAGAAATCGAGACTCATTAGACCAGGCAACATTTTTCCAATCTTCTATTGTCCAATTTTGGTGATCCTGTGTGAATTGTAGCCTTAATTTTCTGTTCTTGGCTGACAGGAGTGGCACCCGGTGTGGTCTTCTGCTGCTGTAGCTCATCCGCCTCAAGGTTCAACGTGTGTAGTGGCCAAAGTGGCCAGTGTGTGTATATTTAGTATTTTTCTGTATCAAACTATTTTATTATATCATTAATATTAATACACCAATACAATTTAAATATATTATTCATTTAGTTTGGAAATGGCTCATTGAAACAAAATTGTTCCAAAATCTTTGGCCACCACCACAATCAATATTTATGTTTGGTGCATTCATTCATTCATTTGCCAGCTTAGTCTCTATTTCAAAGGTCGCCTCAGTGGAATGAACTGCCAACTATTCCAGCATATATTTAATGCAGTAAATGCCCTTCCAGCCGCAACCCAGTATTGGGACACCCACACACCCACCCACACACACACACCCACCCACCCACCCACCCACACACACACACACACACACACACACACACACACACACACACACACACACACACACACACACACACACACACACACACACACACACACACACACACACACACACACACACACACACACACACACACACACACACACACACACACACACACAAAATTTTGTTTATTCAATTCACCAGTACCGCATGTCTTTGAACTGTGAGGGAAACTGGAGCACCCAGAGGAAACCCACACGAACATGGGGAGAAAATGCAAACTCTACACAGAAACGCCAACTGACTCAGCTGGGACTTAAACCAGCGACCATCTTGCTATAAGGTGGCAGTGCTAACCACTGAGCCACTGTGCTGCTTGTTTGGTGTATTCATTATCATAAATATAGAAAGTACAAAAAAAATACTTTGTAGGCAAAGTTTATAGTCTTATTTTACCTTTAATTATTTCACATAAAAAAATGTATATATATATATATATATATATATATATATATATATATATATATATATATATATATATATGTGTGTGTGTGTGTTTTTATCCATTTTATGTAACTAGTGTTATACTTCACATATAACAATAATTAAACTTTCAGCTGTTTTTATGACATATTTGTTTTAATAACTTTTGCCTGTGTTCTCGGTAATAAATAACAACATTGCAAATTACACTAATTCTCAGTCACTGTTACTGTCTTCCAGTATTTGCTAATATGATATTACATCTCTATCATAAATGTGTGATTAATAGAGTATTGCCTTAAATGAACAGCTATTATTCGACTAGGAAATTATTTAGTCAGGTCAGCCGAAGTAAGACATTTAAAAAGAATTCTTGCTGCAGTATACGTAACAGTGAAAAAAACTAAAGCACTATACCTGATCTGCTGTGGCTTTGAGGTGGTTGACCAGTGAGAGTTGATGAGATCACTGGGTAAAAGGCATCCATGAGGCAGACTGCAGGATAGCATGGAGAGCTGCTGCAGAACCACAGCACCACATGCATGCAGATCTATATCATCCAAACGCCCACGTTGACTACATATGCTGGAAATAGATGAAGCAACATCAGGTAAACAATAAGAAACACAGCGTTCTCTGAAAACAACACGGACAATAGCACTATTACTAAAGGTAGACTTTAAAATGACTTTGTATATCAATTAACATTCAGTCTAAATGCACAGAAAAGAATAAAGTGACTCGAGGTATAGTAACCATTGCAAAATGGCTAGTTTAACCATTCCCTATTCAACCCCCTAAGAAAGCAAGATTTATTACTAGAGTGTTGTTGGTGTCAAAGTAATGGCACTTAATTTATCGTGAGAGCCCTTAAAGGCAAGATAATGCAATTTCCACAGAATCTGTGAACACTACAACACCGTGAGAGCAAGCAAACTTGAGCAGGGAACAAAACATCTTCCTTTCTGACCTGATGATATCATCACTGAGGTTCTGCTCATTGACTGAGATTCTGTAGAGGTTCACTACATCTTCAGTTTCGAGACGCTGCTCAATGCACTTCAGAAGATGGCAAAATCCCTTCATGGAGAGCCTGGAGAAAATGTTTATGACAAAATAAGAACAAACAGATGGAAAAAAGTTAAATTATTGCATGTAGTTCTATTTTTGAGTTTCGAAGAACTACTTTTCAGAAATGTAGGACAATGAAGCTTAAGTTCAGCTTACACTTCCCTTATTTAAATCTGCCATTATTTGCTATTCATATATATTTATAATGCACTGAAAAATCCTTTTCTAATTTATATTTTTCAGTCTTGTTTCTAGTCCAAATATCTAAAAATTCTTAAAATCAAGAAAGCAGTCTTGTTAGTTTACTCTTAAAACAAGTAAAACAATCTGCAAATGGGTTAAGCAAAATATAATTGTTTTTCCTTTTGACATACGATTATTTTGATTATCCCATCGGCACATTACTTAGCTTTTTTATTTTAAGGAAAAACTCACTTAATTTTCACACATTATTTCTTAAAACAAAACTGTGGATGAATGCTTCTTGATTTCAGAATTTTGATATATCTGGATTAGAAAAATACAAAAAAATAATTAAAAGTATTAGTAATAAAAGCATTTTTTGCAGTGTGCAATTTGTTCATTCTGATGCACTGATAAATTTTCCGCAATTATCATTAGTATGACATTTGTGGCTCTATTTTAACGATCAATGCACAAAGTCTAAAGCGCTTTACTCTTTTCTTTACTCCTTTACTTTCATGGGTAAGGAAACTGTGTTGTACACACTCCACTGAAGACATCTATTAGCCTACATATTTCATGTTGTTTTCTTAAGAGCAAAGATTAGTTTAACAGCTATTTCTAAATTCAGTTCTAGTTTCCAACAAATGAATAAATGAACAATAATAACAAAGTGTGGTCAAAAAGTTATATCCAAACACATGTCCTATCCTTTTGCCCCAAATGGTGATCCATACGTCTTAAAAACACGACAGGTGGACAAATCTAAACTGGTTTTTATTAAAACAATGTGCATATAAAATAAATATGCATATAATAAATAATAATAATATAACTTTATACAAATGCAGATTCATGAATGATCTGAAAAAAGAATGAGGAAGCCATGTAGGTAGTGGTTTTCATATTTATGTAGAAAATAATCATTTTTGTAACATTTTTAATCTTAATAAGTTTTTTTTTCGTCATATGTAAAGATATTTGTGTATTGCTGTAAACCCTGTGTGTATTAAGCAATAGCCCGTTTCAGACACACAGGCCTTTTCGGAAAATTACCTGCAATTTTCCAAAAGGTCTGTATGTGTGAACAGGCCCTTTTTGAAAATACAGGTAAATTCATTCTGGCTATTTCCAGAAAGAGAAGTTGTAACATCGAAGGTAATTTGCTGCAATGCTGCGCTGTGTGAACGCCAGAAGGAAGGTTTATGAGAATAAAAGCCTGTGAATATATTTCCAGACACATTTAGCTGCTAGATGTTAGTCAGATAACATTTCTATTTTCCTTCTTAATGGCAACTGTGTAAAAAAAATATTAATAAAATGCATATGATAAACCGCTGTTTGTTTACCTTCAAGCCCCACGCGTGTGCACGTAGAGCAGCCGGTTCGGCCAGCACACACACATATTATGTACATCTCGATATGTGAAAGAGTTTCTCTATATGTTTTTATCGAAGTTGTTCACAATACTTAAAACTAAAAAAGCGGTTGCCCTTCCAGCTGCAACCCATCTCTGGGAAACATCCATACATACTCATACACTATGGACAATTTAGCCTACCCAATTCATCTGTACTGTGGGGGAAACCAGAACACATGGAGGAAACCCATGCAACGCAGGGAGAACATGCAAATTCAACACAGAAACGCCAACTGACCCAGCCGAGGCTCGAACCAGCGACCTTCTTGCTGTAAGGCGAAAGCACAACCAACTGCGCCACCGCGTCACCCAAGGAAAGTTAAGACCTGTTAAAATAATTTAAGACCTACAACACAACATTTTAGTAAATTCAAGACTTAAGGCCTACACTATTTATTTTGAAATTAAAGATATTTTAAGACCTCATGGAGACCCTGTTTAAAACTGCCAATTAAAAAGATGATTTATTATTTTATTTATTTATTTTTTTGCAGGTGGATGGCTAATGAGAAATTCTGTTTGTGGCTTTTTTTGTTCTAGCAAATCCATATCTCTCAAACTACTGTATTAGGCACCGGGTGGCCCTTTTAGAACAGCTTCTGCAAAACCTAGATACAAATCCTAAACCCCCTACCATATAAAATGGCCAAAAAGAATTTATGACAATCTATAATGGGCCCTGGGGTCAGGGGCTACTAAACAATTGCTGCCTCTCTTTGGCAGGTTGTTTCCTGGAAACACCCTGATTAAGCTGCCTGTGTGAATTATATCCATGACATTCTGTCGAGCACAATCCATCTGGGCAAAGTCCTCTTCAGAGCAGCTGAAACAGCTTCCCCCCATACATCCCTGTGCTCCGTCATCATCTTTTCCCCAGTTCATTCGCCAGGGCTCTTCAAAACACCAAGCACAGCCAAACAGCAGCCGATTACAGCGTATTGTTGGCAACATCTATAGGTGTTTGCTCTCGAGACCATTTACGATGAGCATGTTTTAACTATTTGTTTTCTCCATAACCGCAATAATGGTTTCCCTAGTATACAGCCCACCTAAGAAGCAGAATGCAACAAGGGCCACTTTCTTTCAGAAAAGCAGGCAAAATGTGAAAATGCCACACGGTGAAACACAAATATGTTAACAAATCAATCGGCAGACAAACGGATTCATTACAAATGCAACATCCTACTTGAAAGGGCTTCACACTGGATCCATTACAGGGTGTTTTAGTGCTGGTCTCTCCCTTTACACAATGGGTTAGTGGAAAGATCAACTGAAACACATCAAGATCTTTGAAAACACAACCTATTGCCGTCATATGAGAGGCTGAGAGGACAGCTTCGTGAAGGAAATGCTCAAAAGAGTACAATGATACACTCTCCTCTCTAGACCTGAGCGCACGATAGCCTTGACTCCACTTTTACTTCACAACATCCACGACACGGTATCTACTAAATGCTATAACTGATATTAATGGTTTCTCCTTCTCTCGCTTACACGCACAATGACGATACAAGAGCTTTGTTCTTTGCCTGGCCTCTTCACATGGACACAAACACACACATTTATGTTCAATAGCAAACATTTACAAAAACAAATTGTGTCCCAGACAGTTCAGGTACAGGCTACTTTCTTTTATCTTAAGGCAACATAACATTTCCAAAATTGAATATCATACTAGACCAAGTGGTGGATGTTGTCAATAAACTGCCATTTAAATTTTTTAAGAAAATAAAATGGAAGACAATACATTACAGGCACCTCCAAGTTTGTTTGTTTTGATAGTCATCTCATTTGATCACAGGGTCTTTATTATGCACGAAGCAAAATTTATTCAGCCAAAAACGCTGGATTTGCATGCATACCTCTGTTCTCTGAATATATTCCATAAGTTAATTAAAGCTGATGATCCACAACATGTATTCACTGGGCATATCTTTTTTATTCGCTAAAGAAAAATAAATAATAATTAATGTTCTAGAAATATGATATTAAATATTCAGTATGTAAACCATATAAAGTCCCATGAAACTAAAATAAAGTTTTTTAAGATTCTACTATTAGTATTGTTGGTTTTTAAGATGTCTACAAGCTAGTATAACAGTGATAAAATTCGCATTTAGAAGATATATAAAACTGATACATGTAAAGCTTGAAGTTTGTCACTTCTGGCAATATGGAGCAACATTTTTTTCACGTCACCCACAGTTTTTCATCAAATCATAACCAATCAAATTCTCTTAGTATCTGACTAGCCCCGTCCCTTCAAGACGCTTCTCATATGCTTTTCGTTTGATGCACTTGAGCTCCACCACTCTTACTGGCAGAGCTGTAATAAAAACAAAACACTACTGGCTGTTTTTTTTTTTTTTTTTTTTAAAGAGGAGGAGCTACATTATTATACATTTCTGTATGACACATAGTTTTAACTAATGCATATTATACCACAATATCTTTTTCAGCAGTGACTTCAACAAATACAGAAAGCGTTGAAGTAGGGGTGGGCGATAAGTTAAAAATATTACATCACAATTTTTTTTTTAATAAAAAACACAATTCTTGATTTTATCACGATTCTTTGTAATGTCAAACTTATTATTTTGCAGGTTGTTTGAGCAGTACAGCCAAATTAATTTCCTTATTTTAAAAGCAAACCGTTACAAGGTAATAAAATATGTAACAAAATAAAAATAAAAAAACGAATAGATATTTAGGACCAAGTGGGTGAAAATAAACTCTGTCATATGTTTTTTTTTTTTTTTTTATATAATACTGATAAATTAAAGAACGAAGATTCACATTACAAATACACACAATATACAAAAAAAAAAAAAAAAACATTAAATCTGGGTCTTTATAAATCTAAATCTTTATAGATATATAAACGATATAAATATTTTACATGCATATTGTGTGTATTTGTAAACGCCAACTGACCCAGCTGAGGCTCGAACTAGCAACCTTCTTGCTGTGAGGCGAACCTGCTACCCACTGCGCCACCACGTTGCCCATGAATAATCTTTTATTAAGCATATTTCTACTTAAAGATCCAGTGAAGTTAAAATATAATTTTAGATGTTACTATCAGTGTGCTGATGTTTATAAGATAGTGTGCTCCAAAACAGTGAACTAACTAACTAACTAACTAACTAACTAACTAACTATCTAACAGGCATGCAAAAATATTAATATGTGTACGAGTATCAGTCATTAAAAAATAAATACATATAAACTACAAACTATCTGCCTGAGCAGAGGCCTTTGTGACACACTTTCATTCCCCCCTTCATTCTGTGAAGTCAAGAAATAGTTGAGTCTACTGGGACTTGGGGTGAAATCTCCCGAGGAGAAAATTGCTCCCTTACAGCATTATATGGGATTAGGCCAATAATGTTGGATTCAGGGTCTGAGCCTTCCTTACA